AACWGTAGGCATTAGTGGTACTATGATACATACTATATATATAAATATTGCATGCATATTTGATTGTGGAAAAATTTTCTTCACATGGATCCCACACAATTTCACACAGATCGCTCATCAAAAAACCGCTTGTGCCGATTGATAGAGGGAAATGTTAAAAAAATACGACAGCGATGCTTCGAAATACGCCTATGGCAACATGACTGATAATGAATCGTGAACTACTATAGCAACGCAAAACATTAAATTCAGAGTGGTGCTCAACCCTTTTTAGCCAATTGTCTTTTAAGAAATCAAGGAAGGCAACCACCGAAAATTGAGCGTTCTTCACCACGACAATGCGAGCGCTCCCACATAGACTGAAATATCTGCATTTGGAGCACACGAAACATCAATTTGATGAGGAATCCATGGTAAAGTCTTGATTTGAAATCGACGGACTTCTATTCATTCCCGTCCGAAAATTAAGATTTGCACGTTCTTCGACACCTGAAGAGGCAGTTGATGCATTCAAAACGCATGTTTTGGAGATACTTCAATCAGAGATTCAAAATTCGTTCATACGCAAGCAAAAGTGTATAGCTTACGAAGACAATATCTTGAGAAACAATAAAGTGATTTTCGAAGAATATATATATTTTTATGAATTCTCGCATCTCGAAATATAATTGGGAGTATATACTGTTTAGACCCAAAAAATGCGCTACCAAAGTGAATTTGTCGCAAAAATTATTTGTCAATTGGGTCACAGTGTGGAAGAGGAACAGCCACCAAAACCACTAACTCAAAGAAACTTCAAATATTCTAATTATTGTTATTGTACAATATTTTATTTTGTATATTGTTCATGTGGTGGCTGTTCACAGTGCAAATTACTGCTCATAAAGGTGGTGGTACTGCAGCAAAGCAAACCAAAAGCACASTAAACAATATAACAGTACATTGCATTGTTTTCACCATTCAATGCACATGTGTTTTAGCATGTATGTATATATTTGGCTATGCGGCATGGCAATAGCGTTAAATAAATTTCAACCTTGTTATGAAGGTATTTATATGAGCGTATAGAAATATTTGCTGTTCTTTATTATAACATTTTCTTTTTTTGCTTTGCTTTGCTACTTTTGCCGCGTTCTATGAGCGCTTGTCATGAGATTTTTACACCGTCAGGCATTAGCACATTATAACAACCATACAGTGGGAGAGCAGTTGCAGGAAAAAAGCCCTGTTGCATGCTTCATAGTAATTCCACTCGTATGCGCCGCATTTATTGTCGCCGTTGTAGTTACTTCTGATTTTTTTTTCTGTTAATTCACTTTGTTTATTCGTTGTTGTTGCAAGGTAATTATTGTCCTTACAACTAAGGTACGCTGCAGCGCAATGAAATGTATGACGAAAAAAGCTAGACAGGGGGACAGAGGGGTTTTGGTACAAAAATTACAGTGGCGGTTCAAATAATGCCTAGAATTATACAATCAGTTTAAATAATAAGATAAGAGTTTAAAGTAAGCGTGCTTTTGCTCAATGAATACAAATTTTATAAGTTTGTGACAAACATATCACTCTGCAAGGTCAGGTGTAAGGGGCAATGAAATTTCATTGAAAAAACATTTTAGTCATACCTAATTGGACTGGAGATAAAACAAAGCTCTGTAAGGGTTCCCTTAACAAGGTTCTTACCAACCGCAGAGAAACATAGACCACATAAAAATAACAGTTATATGACTATATGATTAAGAAGACATCAAATAAAGTAAAACTTGCCCTTTAAAGAATCGTTGCCTTAGAATGATCAACAGAAATTACTGGCTGAAAGTCTAAAAATTCAAACAATAAACTTTGATGATCAAATCCTCTAAAAACACGAGGGTAACCATTAACTTGAAGAAACAATATTCGAAATGAAAACTTCTGGACTTTTTCTAATCAAAAGTGTAAAAATTCATGACTAACGCATTTATGTTATTGAAGGAGCCTCAGAAATGCTCAAATCTTCTCTAAAAACTAATAAAATTTTCTTAATTTTTTCGAATATTAGAGTATAGAGTGTGCTTGGAGATGAATTTATTTCGTTTCCGATAATATTTGTAGACAACTTCTAAAACCACCCTCGTACTACGTGTAATTTGCTAATACCTTCGTCGGGRAATGCACTGGCGTTTACTACAACCAAGCATGTATAATAGAATATTTATAACAACAGCATAAGGAAACATACGCGCGCGCAAACATATTGAGCAATAAACACGCGATGTTGACATTATTTTCTTTTTTCCTTCTTTAAATAGTGCAAATTTCGTTTTAACCTGAAAAGGGCTAATTAGTCCATTTCCGCGCCAACAACTGCAGCCGCACGGGCCTCCCTTGTACACATCCAATATAAATGTGTGTGTGTGCATGTCATATGCGCTGCTGCATGCTTTTATAGCAATGAATTTTTAATGTGATTTGCAACCTTATAAAAGTTTCAATACAGAGGTATCTATTTCCAGCTTTGCCTAGCTTAATATTAATACTCAATTTCGTACAGTTACTAATATGCTTGTTGTAGTGCCCTTTGCATATYCAATGATGCGGTAATTATATTGAAAATTTCATTAAAAATGTTGACGGTGCATATTTGATGAAATTGTTTCATGTTTTACAAAATATTTGTCATTGGTTTGCTTGTAGATTAAAAACTTTTCATGAGCACGATGGAATGAAGGCAATGAAAGTTCTTCAAATTATTTCAAAAATGTTTTATCAAACTGCTTAAAAGTCAGCAAACTTAGCTCGATACTCGTTCTTATTAAAAGTAGACTTCAAAAGTCGAACAGTTTTATTATAAGTTAAGCATCTCTACTGTTATTATGTCGAGTAGGAAAGGCACGAGTCGTGATGACTTGAGCTCCCGAACTGAAACATCCATGAAATCATCAAAAGTGGCCATTTTTTTACAATTTACTTATCATGTCCATAAGCTATAAATCATTAGGCAAAATCATCGGTACTAATACACGGAGAGTGCGTTACTGCGACTGGTACTGGAATGCTCATGGACTTAACACCACCAACGATTGCTTGAGTAACAAACATATTACTTCTTATTCTTCTTTATTGGCGCAGACAAAGCTTACGCGCAGGTTAACAACAGCGCACCAGTCGTTTATTATTTTTGCAAATTGTATCCAATTCGAGATGCCAAGTACAGCTAGGTCCTTTTCCACCTGATCYCTCCAACGKAGTCGAGGTTTTTCTCCAACTATGCTTCCGCCAGCTGGTAACAGGATAGGAAATAAGAGTAACTAAGAGGATTTGTTCGTAGTGAAAGGACTTTACTTCTCAATTGCCTACTCAGTCTAAAGTAGCACCTGATGGCAAGAGTTATTTTGCGTTGAATTTCGAGGGTCACATTGTGGTTTTAATACCAACCTGATTTSAAGATAGATGAAATTATCTATCTGAAGTTATGACTGTCAACATTGACGTGAGAGCCAAKTCGCTAGTGCGAGAACTGTTAGTTTGACGAAAGGAGATTTTAAAGCCAATTATATCAATATCAATGGSGTACGCTCTCAGCTGAACAGTCTTATAAAAGACTGTGTTTTCTCGATTTATTTGCTCCAGCAGGAGATTGTAGAAGGCGCACGATAGGGATTCGTCTAATCGGGAAGCAAGTTTGGTATCAAATGGTTTGAAAAGGTCTTTCCTGACTATGACGGAGCTTATAGTATTGCTAATCGTCTGTATGAAGCTGTTTTCTTCTTTTCATTGTTAGCGCTTTTTACGTGGTGGGTTCCAAACCTAGTGTGCAACCAGAGAAGGGGTGGATCGCATTCTCACTTTGGCTTRTCTTCAAACTGATATTTTTTGGGTACACAGAGGAAACTTGGTYTGAGACCGAAAGTCGTAAGCTGCCTGAGTCATGTACAAGAATCGTTTCTAGCCTCTCAAATGAATGGCGCTAAAAGAACTTTTCTCACTTACGTGAATTTCTACACATGGCCCCATCCTCCATATTCATATTATTTTACTAGAAGTTAAGATTGACTACAATATTATGTTAGTRACTACACCACTGAAAATTCTCAGACATAAAGTAATGTCTGCTATGGAGTCTCAGTACATTCGGTCACTTGAAACACCAGTTCAATATTAAAAAGTTCTTGAAAATCATCCATTTTAGGATTATTGGATATCATTTTGATGATATGTACAAACTTTCAAAATACTTTGATTCCGTTTATGACTATTACTATAACGAAGGTCTGGTAATTGTCTGGAGTAAACTTTTGTTTTTTTACTTGTTCTATTCCAAGTCTTTAAAAAATGGTTCAAAAGCCACATTGATTTTTGAAGAACAAAATAATTTTAGAATTCCTAGGTTTTGCAAAACCTGGTGGAATCTCCGACTTGAAAGGTTGCTGGATTTTCAGGCGGCGCCAAAAGCTAATTCCGTTGCAATACATTTTAAAGGGAACCAGATTTATCTTATACTTCGGCAGTGGGTCTTTCTGATGACTTTCAGCAAAAAACGAATGCAAGGAACTTGTAGAAAAGCTTGTTCTGTAGATCCGACATTAGTTGCAATTTTCTGAAACGAAAATCATCATTAAGAAAGAGGACATAGATGACAAATAGAAATATAACCTTTTGAAAAACTACTTGCATATACGTATGTACTTAGATATATTGATCAARCAAAGTCTTAAAAAAGATAATCATTAATTCACTTTACGAAAAAGACAAGTTTATAAGTTGACATAGAAGTATAGCTAATTAATCATGCTTAATCCAAGGAGCTGTTCTTTATACGCTATATACACTGTTACAAAGCTATCGTCGAGAGGTGCTCTTCGAAATATTATTGTATAAAAAAAAAATATTTAGTCAAATATATCCATTTTCACTCGCATAGTTTTACTTAATATATACAAAAATAGTCTTTACTTCCCAAACTCATAACAAGTAATAACTAATAACCGCTTTTTGTTTGCTTTGTTTGTTTTTGTTTTCAGAAAACATTAAGCCATTAACATTCGACGAGGTCTACATTCAAAGCAGCCCATCAAATTGCACCGTTTATGTGGGTGGTGTCAACAGCGCCTTAACCGCGCTCAGCGAGGAAATCCTACAGAAGACCTTCTCGCCGTACGGCTCGATACAGGAGATACGCGTCTTTAAGGATAAGGGCTACGCATTTGTGCGGTTAGTATTAGCAACGCCAGAACACTAAGATAATTGGCAAACATTACACCCACATATACACAAACCCACACATCCATATATAAACACCTACATTTACGAACACACCTACAGACCGCAAACTATGACTTCTCTGATTTGCTCACTCCTCCACACGCGCAAAGCCATTAATTCATTATTTGCTTTTGTACTTTACTCTTCCATGCTGGCGCGCAATGTTATTGTTATTGTTGCTGCCTGCTGACTACCACTATCTACTGTTATGCCACATGCATRCGTGCAGCTTTTCGACCAAGGAGGCCGCCACACATGCAATCGTCGGCGTGCATAATACGGAAATCAATGCGCAGCCTGTGAAGTGTTCGTGGGGCAAGGAGAGCGGTGATCCGAATAATGCACAGACAATCGCCAGTCAGGCGCTTAATCCAGCTGCTGCCGCTGCAGCCGGCTTCCCGTATAGTGTGGGTGCAGCAGCTGCGGCTGCCGCTGCCTATGGACAACAGTTGGCCGCCACCGGTTGCTGGTATTCGCCAACGCCAACATATTCCGCTTCGTCGACCACAGCGGCTGTAACACCGGCTGCTGCTGCCTCCGCTGCCGCGGTGCAGAATCAATTCTTGCAAGGCATTCAGGGATATCATTTCGGACAGTATGGTGGCTATCAGCAAGGATATATGGGGTGAGTACACGCACAGCCATACATATATGCAAACACACACGCACACACACCCACACAAACATATATGTATACGAATATACAACGCCCGCTCTAAAGCCATTGAAAGCGCACACAATCAAGCGCGCGTGCGTCGTGCAACATTGCAGCTATTAACATAATTGAAGGCGATAATCGCGCTACGTGCGTGAGCTGTTGTTGTTATTGCCACTTTATCGATATCTAACGTCCATTTGGCTGCATAATGAACGCTGCCTGCCAGATAGGCCGTTAATGACAGGCAATGCGCCGTAATATATGCAACAAAAATTTGCAATTAACTCGAAATCGCTTACGAGTATTGTGCCGCAGCGCTATATTTGCAATTCTGCGAGGTTTTGTTGTTTTTTTTTTTTTTTGCGTTTTCAATACAATACAGCACAGCTGGTATTGTCACTCCCCATCGATCAATCGATTAAAATTGTTCAAAGCACGATTTAATGCTTGTGCTACMCATTGGTTTCGCTATATGCGTGCGTAAAGTAACGGGGGTCGTTGGSGGAGAATTGTTGCAATTTCATTGTGAAGCATATAGCCAATTATCGCCGCAAAATTCAAATTCGTTCTCAAATAAATGTGGCAACAAATCCTTCAACTCAAATGCGTACACACATAACGTGGTGCAGCAACAGTGCTTTTAACGACTGCTGCAACTGCCAATTCACCGTTTCGTAGCCTTCCAGCACGCAGTTGTGTATCGGTGAATGATGACGAAATTACTGGTTGACTGAATTCATTTGCTAATTGCTAAAGTTATGCGCAGCCAGTGCTTTCCGTTGTCTGCTTTCACCGTCCGTTGTCTGCAGTTGTCGTTGCACACCGTTATTCGTCTCTTAAATACGCGTTTCCGTTCGAACGTCGTTTTGTCATATGGATTTTCGGTTCGTCATCTCTGCATTTATGCATCCGCTCTTTTCGTAGCCCTGCTCTATGCAGCTATAGTCGTCGCGTATATATGTTGCACAGTGTACCAACAGCAATTTTGTATAAAAACGATATATAGAAATAAAATTAGAGAGATTTAAAAATTTTGTACTTTAATTAAACGAATGGAATATTGAAATTTTAGCCGCTTCGTTCTTTAACTCGAAGTTAGTGTAACAGTTAACAATCTCCCAGATTTTGCACTTTGGCGCTAGATGACGTTATAGTACAAGTATTAACAAAATAATTCTTTATGATAAATTTTGTTTATTTCATACAAATTTATGCGGAAAACAACCATTAAGACTAATTTATTCTTCACSGGCGATATTGCTCTCTCGATTAGGTACATCATACAAGTATACGGTGGCAACCTCTATAGTGCAGAAATATTTGCAGTCATAAAATTCTTATATYTCAACTTCAATTTATTATATATATAATTTTGTCCGGAGGCGCGAAAATCGATAAAGGAAAAGTCTTTAAAAAAAAAAAACATTTTATTATTAGCATTAGCAGTCTTATTTGCGTAGTCAAGCGACTTCATAAAAACCCACAACATACTCACAATGGTCCACGATCACATCATAATAGAGATCACACCACTGGCCGAAGATAATGCGCTTACCAAAGTTGACATTAGCAAGTCGATTGTTTTTGACTGCATAGTATGTAGTGCAGTCAAGCGTCTCTCGCATCCATGTACTTGAATTCAGATATGAAAAAGTCAAGCTTTCTTTTAAAAATGAAGTTTGGTAGACGTTTATTTTTGGTCCCATTCACGGAACATGTGACGSGCTTGATGGTAAGCGCACAAACCAACGAGATTCTTTTGCAACATTTTTTATAAAGTGYATGGGCGCAGATCTACGATATTTTGCTCCACATGACGTCTTGTGAGCGCACTATACTATACATATCTCTGATGATGCTCAGTATCCACTGGATTAAYGTGGTGTGAAACGTTTCATGCTTACTTGAATTACCGACTCTGCTGGAGGATTATGTCGAACGAATATTGGRCTCCGTTTTACCCGAATAAGCTCACAGGTCAAACTCATTATATAGGCACCGTCCGTTTCCATAAAAAAGGCATTCAATTTGACATGCGTGAAAGAAAAATTAAAAATAAATAGAAAGTCATGCTTTACTATATTAAGAACTGCTAAATGTTGCTGCGTTAGTCGGAACTGCCTTTACAATTTTCATAGCAGATAATAAAAATATGCGCCATACTATAAGAAATACTATAGTTTGTTCCCTTTCTAAAAAATACCTCGATTTCGTATTTATTTGTAAAATGATGACTACCACTTTTCGTTCATGACTTCATGGACTAGAGAAAAACGGCTGTCAAAAGCACTCCAAATGTAGCAATAAGACGAGGCTGTCAAAATTTCTGTCAGTACTCAGGGTTCGATCTCTCTTTCTGGATACGAGGCGTAATATTCAGAGCTTAGACTTTTGGAATTTTAAGAGGTTACATGTTTTTCCTCGGGTCTAAAACAGCATATTTTTAACAAATTATCATATAAAAATTAAATATTTTATAAGAATTTTTTATTGTTACAAATACATATATAGTATACTATTAAGGAGTCAGTAGGGTAACATTTTTTAAAATTGTTTCTTTTTGCACTTTCTGTTCCCTTATACCCTTAGAATCAATGTAGAAACCCAC